CAGGTCGCTCTGGCCGCCGGGACAGGAAAAGCAGCCTAAAATATTGTTAGTAAACAGATGCGACTGGCAGGGCACACTGATGCGGGCTCAGCTTAGGGAAAGATGGCATAGGCACAGGTGCAAATGCTGCACGCACGTAGGTGAGGAGTGAGAAGGACCGGAAGTTAGAAGAAATGTCCTTTAATTTACCCTTTCCTCTTGTGTCGATAAAATATGACCAGGATGCAGCAAAGGAATACAATGCCAGCAACTACAAGAAACCAGAAACAAATGACATGTAACTCTGAGAACTAATTGCCAAGATTCAAAATGTAGCAGCAGAAATAAGTAAGTGTTGGTTACATTTCAGTGGTCAGAAAATGCTACTTCATTTAAGCCCATATATATTCATATTCCGTCTAGACTCTTCACTATCACAAGTTCGTGAACAGTCCACAGTAAGTCAGGGAAGAATCCTTGCTTAGTTTAGAAAAGTACCCAAAGCATATTTGGGACGCAGAGTCATGACTAATCATCCTGAAAACACATGGAGTATTTAGGTTTGTTACTAAGTGGACAAGTGGAATATAAAAGAATATACATTCACCAGCAAAGCATAGTGTATTATATACAAAGTCAGACCGTTCTAGACTGGTGTACTTCACTTCAAGCTATAAAAACTATAGAAATTGGAAAGTTAAATTAAAAATAACTGCATACATTAAAAAATGCACTTGCTCACAGTGTTATTTTTATTTAAGTAACGTCAAGTTTGGGCTACTTACGAACAACAATGACAATCAGAGTAATGATTCCTTTGCCTGAGAAAAAAACGAGAACAGTTTCAAGATAATTGAGCACACAAGGGTCCCAGAGAGTAGTCGCATTTAATCTTGCTCAGATTATACACTACAGCAAAGAAAGAGTTCCTCAGTCTAGTTTTAGCACGACTGCTACTGTGTCCAGATCATTCCGATCACAGAGCCTTGGACTCTGATCCCACATCCAGGGTCCACCTTGTAAGACTCTTCAGAGGAACCTCACTTTTCATTGTTTTGTGCTGTCGCTGCCATATCAGGTTGTTTAGTAAAGCTTACTAGGACAACTAAGAATTCAGTAGATCAGAGGGAAATTGCTTTAAAACGTATTACCCCATTATAGTTGGTTTACTTGAATCAGTATTCATCCTATCATTTATGATTTTGTGAGGAATTTGTATTTTTTCCACCAAAATGGACTCTGTGGACTGGGTCATAAATAAATCTCTACTCATCTATCACAAACAAGGATGTTAGTTTCAGAATCTTCAAAATAATATTTTATCATCAACCCCTCCTGATCCTCTACCCCCTAAAAAAATAAGACATAATCCTAATTACCAAGGAGATTCTATATATGTAAATGAAACACCAGGGCACATAGATGAAAATAATGTATAGAGACTTAAACATGCATTTTTGACTACCCAGAGAGCAATAAATCATACTACAAAATCTTAATTCTTAGAAATGATGTCAGGAGTACCTTGGCTTCTAAACTGCCATTACTTATATTAAAGTTCTGGAAGTCAGAGCATAAAATGTCATGTTTACGTCTGTTCTTTTCATTTCATAAAATATTAGGAAGCGTTTCATAAAATATTAGGAAGCCATCTTAGGATGGCACTGGTTTTACTGGTACAATGACGGTCTGACTACAGTGTTCAGAGGGAAAATATAACAAGCCTAAAGAGTTATAAAAAGGTTAGCCTTACTTACTAGTCTAATAAAAGTAATAGGCATTTCTCATTTACTTATCAAGAAACCTTTATATTTCCATTTAACTGTCACAACTATAGCTTTTTCTTCATTTTCTTTAACATACATTGTGCGAACCATGCGAGCCTATGTAAAGTTTGCCATACCAGCCTGTAACAGAAAAAAACTAACCCAACCTGTAGTATTTTAAGGCTTATGTATACAAGGTACAAGTAGAAAGAAACTTTATCTCCAAATTGCCACAAAAAAATAACACTACCCCATGAACAGCAAGTTATGTTGTATGTATTTTAACCTATATATAATCATAGTATTTAAGAAAGTGACCTCACCCTACTAGGAATCCTATTTGGGGACCGCTCTTAAAAACTATACTGTATACATGTATCTACATACACTGCTTACATCTGTCATCGTATCTGCACTATCAAAATAACTCCAAATGTGACATATTACCAATTTGTGACAGGCTCTTTCTTAATTACACATAACTGAAATATGATATTTACACGTAGAACTCTAGGGTCTCATAATACAAAGCAATCAACAACCAAAATAGTACCTAAAGTATTAACGTCTTCAGGTGGTGCAGTGGTAGTGGGAGCTCCTGGGGGGGGAAAATGGAAATAAGTTAAAAAGAAAAAAAAAAGAAAATAATAAAGCTTAAAGGCCTCCAAATTTAGAGGTTTTGATTTCTCGCTTTTGTATAAAAACCCTTGTAATTTCATTTTCCTTATATAAACTATGTTGAATGTTTCCCATTAAAAGTAGTATCATAATATATCATAAATTTGTATATTATTAGTATTCTTCCTATTCAGTAACATTTCCTGTGATAATATTCTATGGTATAACAAGCAACTGCATCATACTTAGCCTATGGATTCAATGTGAGTCTACTTAAAAGTAAAAATTTGGGGGGCTTAATAAACTATTTAGATGTTGATCTCCAATAGAAGGAGACACCATTGTGATAAAGGCCATTTATGAAAACACCATCATTAGCATATTCAAAAACTGAGAAGTTTTCCCCTTAAGATCAGGAACAAGACAAGATGCTTGTGTTTTCCACTTACTATTTAACATAATATTAGAAGTTCTAGTCAGAGCAATTAGGCAAGAAAAAGAAATAAAAAGCATCCAAATTGGGAAGGAAGAACTAAAATGATCTCTATTCCACATGATGTGACCTTTACACAGAAAAGTCTTAAGGATCTCTCTCTCTCTCTCTCTCTCTCTCTCTCTCTCTCTCACACACACACACACACACACACACACACACACACACACACACCTATTAGAGTAAATGAATTCAGCAAAGTTGCAGGGCACAAAACCAACACACAAAAATCAGTTATATTTCTATACACTAACAATGAACAATCCAAAAAGGAAATTAAGAAAATCCCATTTACAATAGCATCAAAAAAGAACAAAATGCTCAGGAATAAAACAAGAAGACGAAAAACTCATACACTGAAAACTACAAAACGTTGCTGAAACAAACTGAAGATATAAATAAATGGAAAGACATCCCGTGTTCATGAATTAGAAGACTATTATTAAAATGTTCATACTACACAAAGCAATCTACAGATTAAATGCAACCCCTATCACCATCTTGAATATGCATTTTGCAGAAACAGAAAAAACTAACCTATAATTCATATGGCATCTCAAGGGACTAAGAATAGCCAAGATAATCTTTTTTTTTTTTTTTAATGTTTATTTTTGAGACAGAGAGAGCACAAGCAGGGGATGGACAGAGAGAGAAGGGGATAGAGGATTCAAAGTGGGCTCCACGCTGTCAGCACAGAGCCCGATGTGGGGCTCAAACTCACGAACCTTGAGATCGTGACCTGAGCTGAAGTCAGAGGTTTAACCGACTTCACCCAGGTGCCCCCAAGATAATCTTGAAAAGAAAAGAGCAAAGTTGAGAGGACTCACGCTTCCTGATTTTAAAATTTACTACAAAGCTACCATAATCAAGCAGAGTGGTACTGACATAAAGACAGACACAAGACTAATGGAATAGAATAGAAAGCCCAGGAATAAACCCTTATGTCTGTGGTCAAATGATTGCCCACAAAGGTGCTAGGAATATTTAATGGAGAAAGGGCAAAATTTTCAACAAATGGTTCTTAGAAAACTGGATATCCAAACACAAAAGAATGAAGTTGGACCCTCACTTTATACTACACACAAAAATTAATTCAAAACTCACACAAAACTAAAATAGGGCTACAAGTGTAACACTTTTCAAAGAAAACATATAGAACAAGCTTTTGTGATGCTGGATCTGGCAATGATTGCTTGGATGTGATACCAAAAGCACAGGCAACAAAAGAAAAAAAGAGGTAAGTTAGGTTTCATGAAAATGTAAGACTTCTGTCCATCTGTGGACACTGTCAAGAGTGAAAAGGCAATCCACAGAATGAGAGAAAACATCTGCAAATCATACACCTGATAAGACCTCCATACACAAAATACATAATGAACTCCTAAAACTCAGTAACAAAAAACAAGCCAATTAAGGAATGGGCAAAGGGTGATGGGCATTGAGGAGGACACCTGTTGGGATGAGCACTGGGTGTTGTATGGAAACCAATTTGACAATAAATTAGATTTAATAAGAAAAAATGGGCCAAGACTTTGAAAAGACATTCCTCCAAAGATCTGCAAAAGACCAAGAAACATAAAAAGATGATGAATCATGAATCATTAAGGGAATTCAATACAAGCCACAAGGAGCTGCCACTTCGCATGTGCTAGGATGGCTGTTCTCAAAACCCGGGAGAGAACAAGTGGTGCCAAAGAGGTGGAGAAACTGGAATATCTGTGCATCACTGATGGGAATGTATCATGGTGCAGCCACTGTGGACGACGGCAGGACCGCTCCTCAAAACAGTAGACACAGAACTAGCACGTGACCCAGCAATTGTACTCCTAGGTATATGAGCCACCAGAAGTGCAAAGAAGGGCCTCAGACAGTTAGGTGCTAATATTCAGAGAAACATTATCCAGAATAGCCAAAAGGCAGAAACAACCCAAGCACCGATCAACAGATGAATGGATAAACAAATGTGGTACATAATACAACGGAATAGGATTCGGCCAGAAAAAGAAGTAAGTTCTGATCCATGCTACCCCCCAAACCAAGAGCACACTGTATACACTGTATGTTCACCAACTTGACAATAGATTATATTAAAAAAATAAATAAATAAAACATTATGCTAAGTGAAATAAGCCAGAATACACTGGCTAACTGAAATAAGCTAGAAATGACTCCAGTTCTATGAGGTATTTGCAATAGTGAAATCCGTAAAGACAGAAACTAGAATAGTGGTTACCAGGGCTAAAGGGGGGTGGGGGGGAGAAGGGATGGAGAGTTATTGTTTAATGGGTATAAAGATTCAGTTTGAGATGATGATGAAAACGTTTTGGAGACACAGATAGCAGTGATGGTTGCAAATAATGCGGATACACGTAATGCCACTGAAATGTACATTTAAAATGGCTAAAATGGTAATAAAAGTTTATCTAGAAAAACTAACATACAGAATGGTCTAAACATTCCTGAAAATGAAGTGTTCGGCCAGATACTAAAACATATCATAGTCCCATAGTAAAAAAAATGATTTGGTGCTGGCATAGGAGGGTATAAAGTTCAAGGGCACAGAAGGATGTGTAGGATACCCATGAATTTAATATATAATAAAAACTGGCACTTGAAAAGAGTTGGAGAGAAAACAACTTATTCAACGAATGTTGCTACTTTGCCACCAGGTAGGGGTGGGTGGAGTAGAGAGGAGCCCTACATCACACCATATACCACAGTGGATTTCAGATGCACCAATGATCTAAATGCAGAGAAAGTAATCAGAATGCATGGTTAATAGATTTCAGCGAGGGGAAGGCCTAAAGCTTTTATGAAGAAGACAAAATACACACAGCCATTAGAGAAGAGATCAATATATCCAACTACTTGTTAATATAAAACGTCTTCATATATAAAAGACCCCTGATAGGAGAATAGTTATATCAACTCTGGCATATCTTAAAGTCACCATTGAAAGGATGGGATATAGTCATCTAATTACAACCACAAGCCATGAAGTGGAAAAGTGCAAGTTTCAGAAAAAACAGCATGATGCCACTTTTATTTAAGAATAAAGAAAAAAAACCCACCAAAGTATGTATGACTACACCTAAAAGGATGCTTATGTACAGAAATAGATGAAAAAATACCCTAAAATATTAAGTGATTAACTCAAGTAACAGACTAGAGAAAGAGAATGAGAACTAATCTTTTACTCTAAATACTTCTGTAATGTTTGAAATTTTATAAACTTATATTTGTATACTACTTATATATTACAATTATAAGACGTAAGGTGCCTGGGTGGCTCAGTTGGTGGAGTGTCCGACTCTTGATTTCAGCTCATGTCATGATCCCAGGGTCGTGGGTTCGAGCCCCCTGTCAGGCTCAGCACTGAGTACAGAGCCTGCTTAAGATTCTTGCTCTTTCTTGGGGCGCCTGGGTGGCTCAGTTGGTTAAGCATCTGACTTCATCTCAGGTCACGATCTCAT